AAACACGATCCGCTTCTAACAATGGTCGCGGCCAGACTAACCGATGCACGTGAATGAAACTTTGTGTGACGGTAGAGGGAAGTCCAAGGGTCAATGCCCTACCCTCCTCTTCGTCAATGACGTGGCCGGAAATGAGTCATAAAAGTAATCCGGGTTCTTTATTGCCACACCTTGTATGACTGTAAGGGCACCGTGTGAGGGAAAATAATGAGCTATACCGCTAGTGACAGCAAGAGGGACTGTTACGTGGTGTGTGAAAATATGCACATTGCAACTTCATATTTGGAATAACTTCCTATAAACCGTAAATTTTCCTTGACAATTTTGATGGTTGCATGAGAATTTCAGATGCTTTGATGCCGTATAACTGAGTTTGTTGTACAGATAGGGGCTGCAACAGAATATTTGCAGATTAAGATGCTATCTCAAAAATTGAGGAACTAGAATTAAAATCAAAAGAAGATAGGGTATGGATATCTTTTTGTCGCTGTTAATAAATACAGTTTTTCTCACAGAAATTCACACTGTTCCTCTAGAAAATACTAGGCTTCATAATGAAAGTTTTAGGTGTGGTAGTGACCTGACATTTGGAATTGGTGAATGATCTGATATTTGTATGACATGGGCTCAAGTTGCAATTTACTTCATTTTCATTGCTTCATTATTTAATATTAATTTTGACATACATTTTATTGTCTTGTAGACTAGTGAGATATCTGTATCCAACAGATGAAGAGCTTCGAACTTTAGCTGGTGTTCCCAAAGATAAATCAAAAGGGAAGAAAGGTGGGAGGAATGTTGAGAATGGAAAGATAGCAGATACTTTCCACATACCGAGGAATTTGGACATTGAGGTTTGTGTATGATTTCATGCATTTTAAGTATGACATTGAAAAAGAATATTTGTCTATACTTTTGTATGTAAGTTCCATTATTTTAATGAGAATGAAAGGCATTTTTGTCTCTTTATGTAGTTGGAGACAGCCAAAGTGACTGCATTAGATGTGGTTCATCTCAAGTTTTATTCTGAGTACCAGTGGCTTTTAGACTTTGCAGTGTATTCATCTGTTGTATACATTTTAACAGAGGTCAGTAATACATATTTTCTACTGAGCTATATGTCTGGAGCTTAAAGCAAGTAGTGTATAAGGTTTTTACTTTACGTTTGAAAGCTTCTCATGATAGTCAGTATGCACAAATGCTATATAAAGCACAAATTGTGAACATTCACTTCCCGTTATCAGTTATAACTCCACTGTTCAGGAACCCTATCATTACACAGATCTCTATATCTGGGTATGGTGTATATGCATGTCTCACATTATAGGATGCCAAACTGTTGATCGGGATGAAAGAGTTTCCCATTTCTCTAAAGGCACCTTGCATAAAGATGAGAATATTTGACTAAGGGGTGAGGAAGTAACAGGAGGGTGGAGAAAATTACGTAATAAGGAGCTTCAAAATCTATACTGTTCACCAGATTATATATTAGGGTGATTGAATGAAGGAGGAGATTGACTGTGCATGTAAGCAGTTGGATAGTGTTAAGATTGATCTTGAAAGAGAGAATAAGGTTGTTGGCTGTATTAAACTAGCATAGGATAGGGTCCAGTAGTAGGTTCTTGTGGGCATGTTAATGTATAATTGGTTTCCATTAATAGTGAGGAATTTCTCAACCAGCTGTGTGACTGTTGTCTTCTCAAGAAAGACTCTATTCAGTAATACTTTTCACATTTATTGGCTGTATTTTAAATATTTGGTTCAAAGCTGTTGTTAACAATTTAAAAAGAATCACAATATGTAGGTGAATGTATTATGGTGTTAACAGGGAAACCACATACATAAGAACTACTAGGGTGTCAGTGTATAAGGTATAATCCCTATATGAGTCCATCACCATTTTGGGCTAAATATTTTTAAAAAATGTGTTAAAGTTTAATCAAATTTTTAAGATTTCTTTTTAAAATATACCTCACAATTTTACATAAGTGTATTGTTTGTGAAGGAAGAATATGACTGATAGGACTGAGTGAACTTCTAAATGGCCAGTTATCTTTTTTATGAATATGCAGAATGGCACTTCTTTCACTGAGCAAATTGGCTGAAGTGGTAATGCTCCTGACTTGTATTTGAGAGGTACCCAGTTTGAATCTCACCTAGATGCTGGGATAGTACCTTGATTGGGGCCATGGCTGCTTCCTTCCATATCTTTTACACTTTGTCATATATTCTTACAGTCTGAGTTAGTATCTCTGCCTTTAAATAAACTACAAACACACCACAGACAATTCTTTTTATATGTTTGTAATGGTTTTACCGTTTTTTCGGATTCTACACAGAGTCAGTTTTGTTTAACATGAGTTGTATTCTTTTGTTTGTTATAGGTGTATCATGCTTTAGTACCTCCTAAAGATGAAGTGAATCTCAGCATGCTATGGTGTGTTTTAGTTGTTGGATTTGCAGTGTATCCTTTCATAATCATGCTGTTTCTATTTTAGGACCCACTCTACTCTGTACATTGCTGGCTGAAGTAATTGTTTCCTGCTTTAGTTGTATTTTTATGATTATGTTTAAACATCAGAATAGCAATGAAAACTGAATATGCTGATATGATATCAGTTTGTTATCTCTCTGTGAATTAAATAATTGATTCCATGTATGTTTGTTGTTGGAAACCTCTGTACTTGAAATCACATTACATAGCGGGATAGTGACATGAATTGCATTTTTCAGAGAGAGAGAGAGCCATATGAAATACACGAGGACTGATATAACTGGGTGACAATTACAGAACTTCAGTGAATTTCCCATTTCCTTGAAATAGCTCCTTGATTATCCTCATGAGGTTGAGTGGACCCCGTTCCAGGTCCACTGCTTCTCAGAAAATCTAGTAACGCCGGGAATCGAACCCGGGAACTCAGAATCTGTAGCCAGGAACTCTGACCACTAGACCGCAGAGACAAAGAGAAAAATCATAGGATAGCTAAAAATGATATGGATTGTATTTGGTAATAATATTTTTAATTCAGTTCTATCATCTTGCATGTTTCAGTCAGAAGTGGCTGAGTTTGAATAGGTTTGTTAAGTTTTATCATGTGTTATCTTCTCCTTCATGTCTTCAAAAGGTGAGGTAACATGTTGCATGTACCAACCCCAAAGTCTTGTGTCCAATCTCTGGTGTTCCTCTTCTTTGTTCTTATACATTTTGTTCACACAGTCTCAGCATCATGTGTTTACCCATCCTATCTGCATGGTCTTTCCATCCTTTTGTACATGTTGTAATCTCTTCAGCTATGTTTAATGACACAACACAGCACTTTGCCTTATAATTTAGCAAACAGAATCTAAAGTGAAAGTACATTTAGAATATATGTATTTACAGTTCTATTACATTCCTTAACACATTCCTTCAGCAAACTGCTTCTGTCACTGACATATCAATATTTCAAGAGTCAGGAATCAGTCGGTGAGCGGTCAACTGTTATTGTAGCTGTGTTTGCTTACTTGCTGGTTGCCATGTTGGTCCTCATAGTTGATGAAAATACTTTAGAGCTGGGACTGAATATGGCTTACACAAGCTTCAATCAGAGTGCAGCTGCATTTCTAGAAGCACAGGGCCTTGATTCCTCGTAAGTATTGATTATTTCTCTGAAGTAGATAAGTGCTCTTTTATAGGAAGCAGAAAAAAGTAAGTAAAGTAAAGGTATCCCTATAGGCCACGCCATAGCAAAAGCGGTTAGTTGCTGGCTTTCCACCGCAGCGGCCCAGGTTCGATCCTGGGTCTGGTCAAGTGGAATTTATGGTGAACAAAGTGGCACTGGGAAAAAGGTATCCCTGTAACAGGCCGTGAAGGCCCATAGGGTTGTGTGATGTTGAGGTTCCCACATTTTCTAGACAATTGGCTCATAGATGGCAGCAAGGTTGTCAGCCTTATGTGCCAGCCACCATTTATCCCCAAGAATATTCCTGGTACTCATTTCTTTTAGAGGCTGAGTTGACCCCAGGCCCATAGTGCGACTGGAAGGCTTAGGTCAATTGAAAAAATCCAGTGACCTCATCGGGACTTGAACCTGCGACCCTCCAGCTTGTAGCATAGTGCCTCAATCAACTATGCTACCGTGTGCCCCCGCTTTTTTATAGGAAAATATACATTATGGTGTACACGAATATATACATACATAAATCTTAACTTGAGAGATTTTATTATTGGTACCCTAACTGTTATATGAGCTGGGATAACTCAGTTGGTATAGTGAATGGCTTTCGGTTGGATCGCCAAGGAATCATGGCTTGATTCCTAGCAGGGCAAGAAATTCTTCTCATATCCACAGTGTCCACATTATTTCTGGAGCCCACCGAGTCTTCTGTCCAGGGAGTGCCATGGGCTCTTTCCCCAGGAATAAAGTGGCAGAGGTGTCAAGCTGACTGCTCACCTGTATATAGTGCCAAGATGAAGAATGCAAAGAGCTGTACCTTCACTCTGGAGTGTATTTTAATTAAAAGGAGGGCATCTTTATCTGTACCTCTTACCTTATAATTTTTATATATCGAATATAAAGGGAACATTTAAAATTAAATTAATCAGACACATAAGTTGGATTTAGCTATGGTCCTACTCTGCATACCAAGCACTGTTACTATATAGAATGTTGTCATGTCTTCATAGTGAAATTCTTTTCCTTTTAAACCTAACAAAGCAAGTTACCATATCATGATCACTTCTCTAATGTTGAGGGTGGTGGGTGAGAAGTACAGTTTATAACTGCCATCACGTTCGCCTACACGTTTGGCGCCACTTTTAACTCTGTAACCACTTAGTGAGGCTTCTAGCCCCACAAGTTGGTCGGCACTTATAACTCACCACTTATAACTGTCCTCTTGGTGCCCCTACGTTGGTCTCCACTTTCATCCCCCACTTCCTTGTTGCGGTCTGGTTCAGGGCAGGGTGTAGGATTACTCTGAATTTGAATTTGTATGGGTGCCAATGGACTTGGGTGAAATCCACAAATTTGGAACGGGGAAAACAAATGTGGGGATATGGATAGGTGGGCGTCTGGGGTTCCGACTGCTCAGACGGTAGGATGAGATTCTGTCTCAGGGTGACTTCTGGGCCTTGCTCACACAAGGAGAGAGAGAACACTTAAAACTCACACTTCACCAACACTGTTGGTGAACTAGAATTACACATTACAAGGCTGTAGCACTTTGAATTTGTGTACTGGACTGGGCCAACACCGATTTAACGTCCGGGAGGTTACTCCGGTTACTCCCTAAGACGACTGACTCCAGTTACTCCCTTTTAATGACTGACTCTAGTTACTCCCTTTTGGCTACTGACTCCTGTTACTCCCTTTTGGCTACTCACTCCTGTTACTCCCTTTTGATGACTGACTGCTCTGTAGAGGCAGAAGTCCTGACAGTTCCGGGAATGCCTGGTTTTCTCTCCTCTGAAGTTTTGCTGATTGGCTGAACCTAAAATTTGGGTGTTTCTCTCATTTGCATTCAGCCAATCCCTAACAAGATCATGTTAATTTGGTCCTAAGTACAACACGGTCCTTCTGACAGCTCTCAAATAAATGAAGGTACGCTAACAATTGCTCGGTATGCCCCTCCGAAAATTATTGCGACTCGTATCTGTCAAGTCTCAAATTTTCAAAGACTCGTACTGTCGAAGTTAAACATTGAAATTCCCAGAAAACACAGCGGGATACTTCCTGCTCCATTCTGAGGGTTTCAAGTGACCTGCAGCTTGCTTGTCCCTCAGAAAGACCATATGTCGTCCTTGGCGTCTGCTGGTGCTGGGGTCAATTCTGTATCATCCTGTGTTAACAGTAATGCAGTTAGTTTACATGTAGTACACTGTAATTAAGATTGTAAATGAAAAACATTGCTGAGGTTCATGCATGGTGCAGGTACAAGCTTTCGTTGTAACAGGCTGTGGAGGCACATAGGGTTGTGAGACATTGAGGCTCCTATGTTTACTAGACATTTGGTTCACAGATAGTGATGAGATTGTCAGTCTTATGTGCCATCCATCCATTATCCTGAGGGAGATTCCTTGTACTCATTTCTATCAGAGGCTGAGTTGACCCTAGGGCCGTAGTGTGGCTGGAAGGATTAGGTCAATTGAAAAATCCAGTGACCTCTTCAGGAATCAAACCCGTGAACTTTGGGCTTGTAGCATAGTGCCTCAACCAACTATGGTACTGCCTGCCCCCAAAGTTGAGTACCTTACTATTTAATAGGATTTGATGCTTTCACAATGGTTAAACTTAATAAAATCTGAGGCTGTCAGCTATGTCAGTTGGTTAAAACTTACTGTCATTGCTGTTACTATCTCTGTCCCCATCTTCAGGATCTGATGTAACATAGGATCTGTATGTCAACCTGTGGTCCATGGTGAAAACTGAGCACATGTGGGGGGTGCTAGTGGTTAGAGTCATGTGTTTGCATGGCTTGGTCTTGTTTCCGGGTTTAGGTATCTCAGTACTACTTTATCATAGTAGTCACTGGCTATGAGGGCCATATAAGATTGAAAACTTGTTCTAGTTGAACTTCAACACAGCATACCTTATGTGCTGTATTACTACTGGGGGACACACACTAGAAACCAGTTCAGTTAAATTACACATAGGATTGTAACCTGTGACCATATTGTATACCTAAATTAAAGAGATCCACATTTCAGATGGCATCTATAGGAACATTTGTAGATTGTATATTGGCAACCATTGTGTTGACTTACCAGGAGCCAAGTAAGGGTAGTGATGTTCTTTATTGATATGGTAAAATTTAAGTTTGATGTACTGTGAGATTTCACCTTTCAGCTCAAAAGACTGAAAGTACAGAACATAGACATTTAATTCATCTGTCAGAAAGTATAATTGTTATGGACATATTTTAGCACAAAGTGGAGAGCATTCCATTTGCTCATTAACTCCTGAAGCTGGTATCCCGAGTACATCCTCATCAGGCTGTGTGCAGCTAGTAGGGTTTATAAATGCTGGCTTAAGGGGTTAATAATTTGATGAAGTGCTGACTGAGTCATGAACTCAATGAACAAGGGTGGCAGTTGATGCAAATTTCTACTTGTTTTGGTGAAAACTGCAATTTTTGCTACATATAATTAGAAGTATCGTGCTGATTTCAGGGGTCCTGCATCAAAACTAGTGTTGAAGTTCTTCTTAGCGTTGTGGAGTGCCCTTTTGGGAGCACTGTTCACCTTCCCTGGTCTACGCATGGCAAAAATGCATTGGGATACACTCAGGTACTGGATATGTAGAATATAAATATTGCAGGTCTGGGAGCACAGTAATTTTACCACTTAAATGGTTGTGAGAGGTGGAATTAAAATTATAGTTACTTGACCTTGACTATAATATGTCACTGGTTGTGTCCTGTGTTTCGCACGCTGTTCACGAAAATCAGCCATTGCAAAAACGACGATCACACAAAACAGTTGTCACTATAAACTCTGCCGAAACTAGTCCTTACCTTCTGAAGCAATGGTAGTCGGCTTATCGACTCAGGAATGTTAGCTCTATGCGCTCATAGCGGCAAAACGCGGTACTACAAAAGCTCTGCCCACAAAAAAAATTAGTTCGGTTTCTTTTGGGTACCCCATCGTATGTGTTGTAGTTACAGTGATCTTTGGAGTGTGCAACTCAGTGAGACTGTTATAGTTACTCGTAGTTACGAATTGTGTGTATAAGTGGCCAGTAAATCCGATTACCAATCCAGACCTTGTCTGATGTCACTCATACATGTGACAGTATTAAATGAAGGAAATACAACATATGGAGTCTTGGACAAGGTCCATAGAATTAAGCCTTTAAATGCTTACCCAGTATAAATTTTATGCAATTGATATGATGTTATGTTTGTAGGGAATATGGCCACATCAACGTTTTTTCTGATTTTTTCTAACCTGAAATGTGGAGGGGTTCATGGAGGTATTCATATGAAGTTCTCCTCCTGGATTCAACCAGAAAGCTAGTAATGGCAAGACAATTGATTTCCAAGAGTGTAAAACTTCTTTATTTCTGTTGCTCCTCAGGTATTACAGTGAAAATAGGCTACAGAGGTTTCTTCTGAACGCAAGCTTTGCATCTCCATTTTTACTCGTGCTGCTGTGGGTAAAACCAGTGAGTAGAGACTACTTGACAGGCAGGATCTTTCATGGTATGGCAGCTCCTCTGATGACTGAGCATACCTTTGAGACCATGAGACTCATCCTAATTGTTGTTGCAGTCCTGCTACGGCTTGCACTTATGCCCACATATCTACAGGCATACCTCAATATGGCACACCATCGGATTGAGGAACAGAAGAAAGAGGCAGGCAGGATAACTAACACAGAGCTCCAAAAGAAGGTTTCTATTCTACTGCCACTCTAAACAGAATTTGTGTGATCCACATATATGTAGTTGCTTTGTATAAAGGTTGTCCCTGTGCTTAACTAATTGCACACTGTGCCATGAAGGCGTATGGAAGAGTGGATGTATAGATCTACATTTTCTTGACCTCCACTCTAGCTGGAGGTGAGTGGTCAGCTTCATGCTCCTGCTTCTTTACCCCAGAGAAAGAGCCTCCAGTACCCATTGGATAGAAGGCCAGGTGGGCCCAAGAACTGGTCTGGACAACATGGAGAACAGAAAATTCTTGATCCTACTGGGGCTTGAGCTCTAACCCCTCAGGTGTCCAGCCCATAGCTAGTCGCTATACCGACTGTACTATCCCGGCTCCTTAGTTTCTTTGGGCCCCAGAGCTGGTCTGGACAACATGGAGAACAGAAAATTCTTGATCCTACTGGGTCTTGAGCTCTGACCCATCAGGTGTCCAGCTCATAGCTAGTCGCTATACCGACTGTACTATCCCAGCTCCTTAGTTTCTTTGTAAAGGAACTAAAAATAATGTGGGATATTAATATTACTTGTAATTTTAAGGACATACTACTTATGTGCAACTAATGTTGCTCTGGTGTAACATGTAGCATCATTAGGTCTTGTTATTTCAGCTTCAGGCTTCACCTATACTTCAGTTAAGTGTGTGTCTACAAGTTAGTTTCATGGGTCATTTTATAAAAGTGCCATTTCATACCTCAGTACATTGAATGTTTGAACTGTGAACACCAAAGATTAATTATTTTATTTACGCTAACGGAATAGTGTAGTTGGTATACCAACTGGCTGGATGACCAGGAGGTCAGAGTTTGAGTCCTGGAATTTTCTCTTCTCCATGTCATCCAGATCAGCACTTTGGTCCACCCAACCTGCTATCCAGTGGGTACCAGGGGCTCTTTCCCATGGGATAAAGCGGCTACATCCATTTCCCCATATGCCTTCATGGTGTTGTGCTTAATTAGTTAATCACAGGAACAACTTTGCCTTTTATCTTTACTGTAACTCTGATAAAACTTTGTTTTTTACTCACCTTACGTGTTATGTCCACAGTACTCGTATTGTGTAAGATCATCTTTACACATGTTAACATCATTAATAATGCTAAAATAAATTCAGTATTTTTTTTTCTTGGCACTACAGCCCCAGTGGGCCTAGGCCTACCTCCATGAACTTTTCCGTTCACTTCGGTTTTTCTAGATCTTACACATTTGGTAGGACTCCTTGGGCGGGTGATCAGCTCGTCGCAAGGCCTCTACCTGTACACAAACACAGAAAAACGCACATACACAAACTAAACATCCATGCCCTGAGTGGGATTCGAACCCACGATCCTGGTTTCCAAGCGAGCGAAGACAGTACATGCCTTAGACCGCTCGGCTACCGTGACCGGCTAAATTCAGTATTATTCTCAGTAATTATAATGAACACTTCTTCACTTATATTTTTCTTATGTTCACTTCTTTGATCTGAGTTATAGTAGATACAAATAGTACAAGAGTATGGAGAATGTAAGATGTATTATTTTATCATTTGTATTTTATGAATCAGTTGACAGACTGGATTTGAAATTAAATTCTAACTGGATCTTGTGTAACACATGTTCATTACAGCACAATTTGGGTATGATATTACAGAATGTAGGTGGACTGTGGATTGGATTTCAAATTATGTCTTATGGAACAAAGGAGAGAGATTCTAGAGATAGATCTTTCACATTTATCATACATCTCCAGCAATATGAATGTGGTTTTCACAGTAGTTAATTACTTGTCACTAACTTCTTTTTCTACTTGAACACATTATGGAGATCTCATGAAAATGTGTAGAGTTGCACTATTTGTGAAAATTAATCATCCTGTTACTCATAGATGCTGACAAGGGGTGGCCCTCCAGCTTGGGGGATGGGCGTGGGGATAACTCCTCACCATGAAAAATCATTATGTTACGAAAATGAACATAAAGTCTCGGACCTGGACAGATCCTTTGGATAAACGACCTAAGCTAATGAAAATGGATATGAGATTTGGCACTTGAAATGTACGAAGTTTGCACAGGGCAGGTTCGCTCAGGGCAGTGGCAGAAGAAATCTTAAAATATAAGTTAAGATTTAGCGGGAGTACAGGAGGTTAAATGGGACGGAGGTGGCATCGCACCAGCAGGAGAATGTACATTTTTCTATGGAAAGGGGAATGAAAATCATGAATTAGGTACATGTTTT